TCGCCATCTCAGGTAGACTTTTTTAGATGGGAGTGATTTCCAAATCCTCACCTGATTTGTGAGCACTGCCATCAATGGTCTCTCTCCTCCCCTGCTCCCTGTCCTCCTTTGGACCCTCTCCCTGGGTACTCCTCCTCCAGGGCTCTCTCAAGTTATCTTCTCGACTTCCACCATAATCCTCAGGACCTGAGAACCACCGGAGGTCATCTTTCTGCGAGGGGCTGTGACCACCTCTAAATCCACCAAGGGAGTGGCTCAGGGGCCCCAGTGGTCCCTTCCTGGGGCTGGCGCGGCATGGCCCGCCCTGGTTTTTCTTGCCCTGCTGACCTCCCTCTGGTCTGAAGTTCTGTCCTCTCCCCTGGTCCTGAATCCTCCAGCTTTCTGCTCTGTCTGCTGAGCCCCTCTCCCAGCCACTCTGCCTACCCCGATAAGGCCTGCCCGAGTTTTCCATGATTCACTTAAGGTAAAATTGCAAGACAGCATGTTCAGTTATTAAGTAAATAGTATTTACATAATCAAAACGTCTTCCCCAACCTGAATTTCAACAGGTTTGGCAGGTGTCCTCTCTCTGGAACAGCAGCATATCATTTAGTTGCCTTTGTACTCCTTAATGTAGAAACCTTCATTGGCTGTAAGGGCTCACTGCTTTCACAGCTTGTGTTGTAATCTGAGACTATTGCGGAATTCAATAATTATCAACCACAATTTGAACTCAGAATCACAATCAGCTTTATTGGCCAGGTGTGTCGGACACACGAGGAATTTGACTCTGGTACATCGGCTCTCAATGCGCATGTACATATCCCCATGCAAAGGTCAAGTGAATAGTAAGGCTGTGTAATATAACAAACTCGGTGCCTTTCTAATAAGGTAAACCAAAAGAGAGCTGTTATTTTAGCCGCACGTAACCCTAGTTGTCTGACTTCTGCAAATTCAAGTTAACTGTTAACCAACTCGCTTTTATTGGCTATGGACTCTGACAGAAGTTAAAAATCTGACCCTGTGGGGAAATTAGTCTTAAGATTTGTGCCTCTCTTGTCCACAAAAATCAGATCAGTACTACAACATCTCAGTCAAGTTAATTAACTTGAGACGACTGTGTACGCACAAATGAAATATTAGCAACGAGCCTAGCTGACTTTGGCACCTTGTTATAGCATCATGTTAGCCTAATGTTAAGCTAACGTTAGCTTACTAGCTTATGCAGTTTGACATGCTTCTAACGTTAACCTTATTCCTTCTTTCTAGAGTTAACGGCGTATAACTTTATCACGCATGTAGCTAACACACCGTTAATAAACTGGTGGTAGTCACCAAATTTAACATTAGCTAACTTGTCACATATAGCCTAGCTAAGGTAGCTACTCATATTAGCTTGCTAATTAGGGCACCTATAATAGCTCGGCTAGCTCAGCTAGCAATAGCTAGCCTTACTGTCTATTTTAGTTGTTGTGAAGCTGTTCAGCCTGCAGCTGCGGTGCCATCAGTAAAATGTCGGCGATAATTAACCATAAAGAATATTAAAGAATTTAAAATACCTTCTGTACACGTGCAGAGGGCATACTTAAAGTCTTGTTCAGGTCTGACTTGGCATGATTGTTTAAAATGTGACGTCAGTACGATCTGTTGTGTAGCTGTCAGCGTTAAAGTTCCGCCCACCATAAACAATAAGGAAGGTAGGTAGATACTTTAATTGATCCCTCAATGGGGAAATTTCAGTGTTTCAGCAGCAATGGAGAACAAACAACATAACACCATGAGAAACAAACACCACACACATATCTTGATAAACAAATTTCAGTACCTCAAGCAGCAATAGAGAACAGACAGCATAACACCATGAGAACAAGCACCGCACACACATCCTGATAAATAAATTCCAAGTACTCTAAACTAGACAGAATCAAGTATTTGAATAATCAAGAACAGAATTTACATATGTGCATATTAACCATGCATTTTACCCCATGATTTGAATATTGCACTTCAGTTGACTATTACATAGTCCCTCATACTTTCACCTATCTTATCCCTGCAGGGATGTATTGTACAGTCTGATTGCTGTGGGGAGGAACGACCTGCGGTAACGCTCCTTCTTACACTGGGGATGTAACAGTCTTGCACTAAAGGAACTGTTCAGAGCCTCTACTGTGTGGTGCAGGGGATTGGAGGGGTCGTCCATGATGGATGTTAGTTTTACCAGCATCCTTCTGTCCACCTCCTCCTCGATGGAATCCAGGGGGTAGCCCAGGACAGACCCAGCTCTCTTGACCAGCTTGTTTAGTCTCTTTCTGTCCATGTCCGTGCTACCTCCCACCCAGCCCACAACAGCGCAAAAAACAGCAGATGCCACCACAGAATCATAAAATGTCTGAAGGAGTGCCCCACGCACACCAAAGGACCTCAGTCTCCTCAACAAGTGGAGCCTTCCTTCCTCTGGGCCTTCCTGTACAGGGCATCACTGTTTTCAGTCCAATCCATTTTGTTGTTGAGGTGGACCCCCAGGTATTTAAACGTGTCCACAATCTCAATGACTGAGCCCTGAAAGCTCACCAGAGTGAGTGGTGGTGATTTCCGCCGGGGATCAATCACCATCTCTTTAGTCTTACCGGTGTTCAGGACCAGTCAATTTTCCTCACACCACTTCACAAAGTCAGTAACAACCCCCCTGTATTCCCGCTTTAATTCAGAATGCTTAGCACATGTGCAGCTGTGGTTTCAGAAATCTAGACCTACATGTATGTCTAGGCACATAGGATTTTTACTTATGTCAATGAAAAAGCTATCGTGAAACAAACTGCCATTTCGCATAGGCGACAATATAGGCTATCACATAATCACAATCAGAATCAGCTTTATTGGCCAGGTGTATGGGACACACGAGGAATTCTGGTACATTGGCTCTCAATGTGCATGTACATATCCCCATGCAAGGGGCAAGTAAACAGTAAACCAACATAAGGCTAGTATAACATTATAAGCAGTATTAACAACAAACTGTGCAAACAATGTAAAATAAGCAGTATAAACAGCCAGTAAACAATGCAGACAGATTGGCCAGGTGTGTTGGACACAAGAGGAATTTGACTCCGGTACATCAGCTCTCAATTTGCATGTACATTGCCTTATGTAAGGCAGCAATGGGCAAGTAAACAATATAAGGCTATATGTATATATACACATACATGCACACAGTCTAGGTGCATTCCACGGATCTATATGTACAGGGTATATTTACAGGTATCCCAAGTGAAACGGCAATTTGCATTTGATGAGTTTGAAGCATAGTGGCTGTGGTTCACGAGGTAGGGCAGTCGTCTCTTGACCAGCAAGTTAGTGGTTCGACTCCCGGTCTCCCCACATGCCTCAGTGTCCCTGAGCAAGACACTGAACCCCGAATTGCTCCCGGTGGCTTGATTAGCGCCGTTGTGTGTGGCAGCTGTCGTCATCGATGGGTGAATGGTGTATAATCTCCCTGTAAAGCGCTTTGGCTAGTGCATAAAAAGCGCTATATAAATACAGTCCATTTACCATACATGCGAATTTCGGCAACATTTTACATATGGACATACTCTTTTTAAATTATTTTTGTAAGTAAGTAAGCAATTGTTTATTTAGCCATATGAAGGACTACAGACAGTAAAAGCTATAACATTTGGTTCACAGTTTAGGATAATGAATTCCTAGGTGGCACAAATGATTGTTTATCCTCGGTTGCCTGGGGCGACGGGAGAACTGTGCGCTGCAGGAGCGGGGAAGACCCCGGGAAAACTAACGTCATCTGACGGAACTCCCCTTATCATCCCAGAACCAACATCCAGGAGACTGCTACTTTCTAGACCTGGTCCCAGTATAGCCTATAGCCAGTGGACTGGCTACCGATTTACAGCAACAATTCAGAGAGAGCTACTGGAGATGGTGCTATTTGTGAACGGTGACAGTGGCTCAGAAACAATTACAAATGAAGACTGCAGCAAACGGAGACGGATGAAGGGCTTATCTCGTCTAACAGAAGCGCGCACACTGGCTCAACAACGGCAGGAAGCCAGGCACAGAAAACAGAAACTTATATCCAAACTGGGTGACTCGGGTTTCGAGGAAGACTTGGGATCGCCCTCGACTTCATCCCCGGCTCGGACAGATTTATCCCCGCTCCGTCCAGACAGAAAGCTGTCCAACTGGTACCTCCAATATGGAGACATCGGTTACAAGATTCAGAGAGAGAAAGAGGCGCAGTATCATCCCTGCAAAAGCTTGGCACGCCAGCCACAAGTAGGCTATACTTTATAGAGTGCTGGGTCAGGCTTACATATAGCTGTTTTCTCAGTGGACTCCACCAAGAAATAAACCTACTTTTTAAAACATTTATAACTTACGTGTCTGCCTTTTTTTTAACTTATTGTAGTCTACTTGTCATATTTTACACTAATTAAGAGAAACAAGATCTGCAATCTAAAATTATTCATTTTGTTATGTTGCCTTTGGTGCTATAAGGCAGTTCATTGACTGGTCTAATAATTTATTGTGGCATTAGTTAGTTCAAGAGATATGAACCTTTGATAACTAATCACACACTGTAGTTCTCACTATCTAACTCAATATATCTGAATAAAATTCAATAGTAGTAGGAAGATTCATTATTATTCATAAGTAGTAGTTTCTGACTGCATAAATATTTGGACATCGATGATATGAAGATATTTGCAAAATGGTGCTTAAAAATGCAACAGAAACATTTTTTATTTTACAGTGCACTTAAAGAAAACAAACACAAGCTATCTTTAAGAAACTGACACTAAAATCTGCTGCTTAAAATAATGGCTTCTGTGTTTTACTGACAGTTGACTGCAGAGGCACGGTGTACACTTGTCAGCTGGCTCATCCCTGTACACAAACATTTCCGTCTGTCCTTTGAGTGCTGCTGCCTGGCGGTGAACATCATGGACAGGTTCCTGGCATCCACAGCGGTGGCTGCTGACTGCTTCCAGCTACTGGGCATCACTGCCCTTCTCCTAGCTAGTAAACAGGTGCATCTTTGAGTGAGGAGTCAGTTTCTGTATTTGGATTTCATTCAGTATAACTCAGTCAGTTCCTCTTTCTGTGTGTCTCCCAGGTGGAGGTTTGCTCTCCGAGGATCAGCCATCTCTTGTCGCTGTGCTGTGATGCTTTCACCAAGGAGCAGCTCTGCAATTTGGAGTGTCTCATCCTTCTCCGTCTGAACTTCCGCCTCGCTGCACCCACCTTGGCCTTTTTCCTGGACTATTACACCAACTGTATTGAGGCTGCCCAGCTTATAACTGAAAACATAGCTGATTACAGGTTTGCAAGAATGAATCCAGACACAAAGATACCCAGGCAGTGCATCAACCTTGCACAACAGGTGTGTGAGCTGAGTCTAGCGGACTATGCTTTCAACAAATACCCACCATCTCTGACTGCTAGCTGTGCACTAAGACTAGCCAGTGAGCTACTGAGAACCAAACATGGGCTTGTTGGGCATGAAACCATACACTCTTGGGAAGACCAGTGGGACAGTTCTGTGGATGAACTATGCACCCAACCAGCTTCTGCTGATTCATCTGAGAGCCCTGCAGTTACTAAGGGCTGCTGTCTATTAGTGAAGCATCACTTCCTGCCTGTAGGTCAGGAGAATTGCAACCACAGTCTGGCACAGGAATGCGAAGACAACCTGAAGCTGTTGGTGTCATTAAACCAGGAGACACTGGATGCAATGTCCATGTAACTGCAATCTGCCACCATTTAGATGTTGACAGAATCCCTAGTTCCCCTCCACTTTGGAGCATATATTCTTGATACAAGTGAGAATAAAATGCCACCTTTAAATCTGTTAAGATGGATGATTCAGAAGTTAAGTTTAGTGTTTGTCCAGTCCCAGTAAACCTTGTAGTTCATAGAAAATGACTCATACTTGATACCAGTCACTGAATGTTTTACAACTTAGCATTATTGTGTTATATTTATTGATAGTATGCTACTATTTATCAAAATATTAATATATGGTTTTATTTTTAATTGATTCTAAATTAAAGTCATTATTTACTGTGTATTGCTGTATAATATGTTATGTTACTGTTGCGGTCTCTTTATGACGGCTCTGAAAAATGTGTTGTAATGAAGTGATTGTTATTATGAAATAAATGGTCAGTTAATTAATTTGTGTTGTGCAAGTGATGGGATGGGATTCAGCTGAGGTTTGATGACTGTTCTACCTTTGAAATTAGCCTGTCAGGTAGCTTTGATGACAAAATGCACATAACAGAGGTATCTTCTCTCTGTGTTCTCTGCACTTAGTTCCTTTAGCAGAAATGTCTGTTCTGTACACACATAAAAGGAAGTCGTTCTCTCTGTGTTCTCTGCACTGCAGTGTTTGACTTAATTCCTTTAGCAGAAATGCCTGTTCTGTACACACATAAAAGGAAGTCAAGGTTTCTCTGTAGACATCCTCAGTAAAACTGTGGTGAGGCATAGATCAGGACAAAGACATGACACCATTTCTAAATCTTTGAGTGTTCCCAGTAGCACGATGGAGGCAATAATTGTGAAATGGAAGTTTGGAACCACCATTTTCCATTTTATCATTTTCCTTTTCGCTTTAAATGTGGCAACAGGTGTCCATCTAATCTGGGAAACAATTAAGCATATAATATAGTCATACATTAGATTTTAAAAAGTCTATATCCAACATAAACCGATAAAGTAACTATTATTTGAACATAATTATATAATGATAAACAAATAGGCTACATTAAATGTCTTGCGTCCTTCTCAGAGCAATAAACTCGATCGCCTGATCTTACAATATGTAGACCATAACGATAAAAATCAAGAGGTTTTATATATACAAAAACATTTAATTGGCCTATATGTTTGGAAAAGAGGCCTGGACGAGCTCTTCATGCGCCTCTGGCACGCAACAGGGAATATTTGGCCGTAAGCGGAGGGAGGGCAGCTCTGACGCAGAGAGCACCTGCTGTAATGGCGCCGTTATGCGCGGTACCACTTTACACTTCAGACCAGAAAACAGTTAGTCTGCACCGATTTAATCTCCGAGGACGCTGTCACTCCCTGGAGACCAAATAAGTGCGTTTGATTGGGCCAAAAGTATGAAACCGCGGCATGAAGAGCCACAAACCGGGAGAATGTTGACTATATTTGCTCTGAATCAGATCCCTTCATCTCTGCAGGCAGAGCTGAACTGATGGAGATGCAAAGAGACAAAAGAGTGTTTGGTACTCTCTGCCCCAACGAAATGGGTCAGCAGGGGAGGAGAGCTGCAGTACTAAACAGAAAGGTATGAAACACTTCTCTTCAATGATGTCCACACAATACAGCACCTGAAAAGGCCAATAAAATACGCTGTCTGCAGGATAAAGAGCCGCTACCAAGGAGCAGCAGTCCTGTCACTGTGTATGTTGAGCTCCCCTGCATCATTGAACAAGGTATGAGCATTTCTGGATTTATGGTTGCACTTCATACAATATCTTAATGAGTGTAAGTAAAACTTAAGCATGTGTTACTAGTATAATATAGGCTATATACTGGGAACTGAATCATCCAGTCACACTATTTTCATGCTGCAGCTTTTTCAACAATTGCATGGGATAATTTGGAAGACTGCACCTCTGTGGTGGGACGGGGGAGTGACTCCCTTGGCTCTCAGGTGAGGGAAAACCCCCGTCAGTACCAAATGTACATGTCTTAGTTTTAAGCTTATTCTATCTAATGTTACTGCACATTCTAGATTCCCCTTGTAAAGCCATGCATTTTTTGATGGCAGACCTGCAGTTTAGCATCACTCCCAGGTTGTTGTTTAACATCTTGTGCTGGAATCCTGCACAAATTGCACTGTAGTATTTACTCTTGACAGGCAGGGAATTGATAATTGGCTGGTCCTCCTCCTTTTTCCACAAACTGCCTCCTTGGCCCAGACAACCGTGCACCATAACGCATTAGCTCCCTGAAACATCCACCAGGCTGTTCTGTTATCAAGCCACTATGAAATAAAACTTGGATGCTCTGTTAACAATTCAGCAGTGAATGTGATGTGTACCTGCCGCTACAGCCTGCTCAGCATCATTATAAACAACTGAGGAGATCCTCCTCTGTCATGTTGACTGAATCCCTGATTGTTTGCCGCCTCTGTCAGATTCTCCCTCCACACTGGAGAGCAGTTTGTCACCAGCTGAACTGGTACCATTTCAGGGATGTGTCATACCTCCCCTTACCCCTCAGAAGGACTTCTCTCCAGAGGACAGTCTAGTTAACTCAGTCACAGAAGCAGCCTCCCTGTCTGCCCTGGATGGTGCTCCCTGGGAGGCCACTGGCCAATGTCATATCAGTGCACTGGGACATTGTATGGTAGTCAACAATCAGGTAAATCTATGATCTTTATGGCCAGTGTCCAGTCAGTCTTCTCCCTAAACACAAAGATGTGGATTCATTGTTATGTCAGAGTAAAAAGAAAACATCCATCTGGCTGAACAGATGCATGACTGAACAGATTTTGCTTTGTGTGTCAGCAGCTCCACGAGAGTCTCCACAGACGACAGGAAGAAATCAACTCCCTTCAGGAGAGAAATCTTCACCTCAGGCAGCTGGCAAGTCAAGCAAAGCACCTGGCCTCAGTGCTTGAAGTGAGTGCATGGCTGAGTCAAATGGTCAAATATATACTGTACACACAGTTTCAACCTGGATGTATAACTTTTATTGCCTTTATTGTCATAAATTATATCTCATTTTTATTTCTCTTGGTTTTGTACTTTCACCATTTTTCTTCAGAGATTAATGACAGTCAGAGACCCAAATATAAGAGAGCCAGAGATGCCATGCTGTGTTGATGAAACTTCACTTAGTCCCTGTAAGCGGCAACGACTGGATGAAGGATATGAAACTGAGTCCTGTGACTCAGTGGCAGATATGTTGAGGGACATCAGTCAACGGTGCAATGCTGTCCTGCATAACACTGCTACTGGGTCATACTGTACATGCCCAGAGCTATCAAATACATAAAAAATATATCATACAAAAATACACAACTGTTACACATACACAGAAACACATTTGCACAAAACCCCTCAGACAGACACATACATCATCTTTCAGAACGTCTGTTAGAGAACACTGCACTATAAGGACTCAGGTGTTTCCTCATGGACGTGCCTTTACCTCGAGGACTCAGCAGGGAGGATACCGCTTTCGCTGGGTTCCCAACTACTGCTGAAAACAGTAACAAATGTTAACTTGAATGTGCTTCTATTAATGATTTAAATTGTACCGTGAGTTTATTCAAGACTGGATGGAAGTGTGCAACTGCTAATGTTTGTGACCTAAATGACATCCTCCTCAGGCAGCTTGTAAGCTAATCACTCAGAGGTGGTGCTTAACAAATGAAATAATACTGCCCAAGTCTTTGTGTTTCTGTTTACATGCCCCAATTTATTTTTTACATGTGACTATAAATTGAAAATAAAAGTTATGTTTTATAAAGCTGACCTTTAAATGTCTGAGTGACTATATGGTCTGAAGAAAGGCACTGAGTCATGATGCACTGCAGTCAGAATCAGAAGTGGGAAAAGACTTTTGTTGTCACATCTTTCCCAATGCATTTCTTAAAAATGACATTTTTTACACTTGGAGCAGAAGAAAAATGAGGGCATCATATAGAAAAGAGGAGATTAACTTACCTTAAGAAGATGTGATGACTTCTTTTAGCCTCGCTGTTCAGGGCTTTGTCTGTGGGTTTGCCTGAGGCAGAGCAATCAAGAGAACAATGTCCAGTCTTAGGTCAGACACACGTCTTAACTCTTGAACTTGGCCTGTTTATTTTAGAGAGGCAGCACTGTAGCCTATGGACATGAGGCAATTAACATCACAAATTAACAACACAAATGAATCAAAAAAAGAGTGTGATAGTGAGAAGGCAGTCTGATTAACATAGTCCTGACATTGCATTTAAGATCATAACAAGTTACATAAGAGAAAAAAAGGTTCACGTTCACAAATGAACAATTGATGGGAAATTTGAAATACTCCACACCCAAGTATAATGCCACAGTTGGATTAATATAATAATGATGGCTTTCACACTGGGGTCAAAAACAGCTGATGTCTGAACTAATATGCTAAAACTAAATAAAGGGTTTTAATACTGCACTCCTACCAAAGAGTGCCCAAAGAATGAATTGGGAATGAATTTTTTTTCTGATCTTCAAGAATGCAGTGTTTCCTGGATTCAATGTAATCCTGACACAGTGAGCACTAGGCCTCTCTTTTGAATTCCTTGCATTTAATATTTTATTGATGTTCAAAAAATGGAAAAAAGAGCATTGAGGGAATGAAATCACACTTGATGCTTTATCTATCTATAGGCCTATGTGAGAAGTAAAGATTGTGACAGCTGACTGATTATGCAACCTGTAATTTGTCTTATTACCAATAACTATGGATGGATTACTGAAGGAATTTATAAGGGCTGAGGCCCAATGGGTCAGACAGCCCATGGTCCAAAGCCTCTCTGAAGTGAAGGTTAACATTTGTTGTTGGAAAGTCAAGGAAATGACAACAAAGACATGCAAAAAAATAAATAAATGCAAAACTATCTAAAGAGATTTTAAAAATTAATAATAATAATCAACCTACAAAGAGGTGCAAAATGCAAAAAGGCAGAAAATGAGTAAGGAAGGAAGATTTAAAACAGCCACAGAAACACAAACAAGTAAAATACAGTGATGGAAGAACTACTCGGATATTTTACTTAATTAAAAGTAGCAATATCACAGTATAAAAATACTTTTAAGTCCTGCATTCAAGATGTTACTTCATTAAAGTACAAAAGTATTAGCATCAAAATATACTTAAAGTACAAAAGGTAAAAGTACAGCTCCATTATGCTGAATGACATGTGCTGAGTAAATGTACTTAGTTTCTTTCCACCACTGGTAAAATAAATGCAAAACAAAAAAGAGGATGAAAATGAGTGCAAAGAGATGCTAAATGGCTAAAAAGAGGATGCAAAACAACTGCAAAGAAACAAAACTGGGCTGCTTGTGTTTCTTCAGGATCTTGTTCTTATGGAGGAATGGGGCAGCTCTCAAGTGTCATGACTCTGCAGAATTTATTTTGCCTGTACCAAAACCGTTTGGCCAAGGACTTGGTTGCAGTTAACAATTTAAATTCCTACTGTTACTCCAGCAGAAACAAGCAAGACGCTTGTGTCAAGCCTTCACTTCAGCTTAGCTCGACATCCAGGCGGTTTGCCACTGAGCCGCAGCAGATGACGCATTGGTGTTAAGCTGGCTGTGACACATTTGACCGGTTAAACTACCGCCAAACTGAGGGGGGGTCCGTGCGGGAGGGGAAAGAAAAATCAGCACACAATGAGTTTCTAAGGTGACTAAAGCCAAACCTGGAGGGAGGCTGCAAACGAGACAGGGTCCCGCGGGAAAGAGGGCGGAAGAAAAAATATTATTTAGTTCCTGTGGAGCAATAAATAGTGGGCAGAATAACAGAGGTGCAAGGCCTCTGGGTAAATAACGTGTCACCTACACAAAGTTGGCATTTATTCTTATACAAGTGAGCTGCTATCAAAGCATACAGAAAGATTTTATGCCAACAGCAACTGATAAATATCTGGATTTTCACTACACCTTTGTCATTGCACAAGTACAACGAAACCAAGTTTGAACAATAAATAAAATATGGGGGTGAAACAGTAATACAATAAGAAGGGTCCAGTGGACAAACGGAGCAGACCTACACTGTTCCCTGTCACTGAAAACACGCACCTGTCGCACAGCTCCAGGCTCCAGCTCGGAGTGTGAGCCCATATGGAGGTGGCAGGTGGGAGAACGTGCGCAGCTCGCGTCGCTCGCGCCCTTCAGCCCACTTAGCGCGAGAACGGGTCACCATTAAATGGTGTGGCCCGCGGTTACACGGCATGCACCCGCAAAACACGCTCACAGGTCGAGGAGCTGTTACAGACGTGTTGACTTGTGACAGTAGCTCCAAGATGCTTTGTTTAATCCAAAAATATTCAAATAAAACTCATTTTAGATGTTGGTGTAGGCCACTGGTTTATTTAAAACAAACTGGGCCAACAAACATTTTATTTCATTATATTTTAGTTAAGTAAAACACTAGCCAGATTCTCTAAATAAAATAACACTATGCATCAAATTTTAGTTAATTTGTTAAGTAAATCGTTTCCTTAACTAGGCTAAATTAAAATAAAATCATCGAAAGTAAAATAAAATACAAATATTTTGCAGAAACATAATCTTTAATATAATTTTAATTCCGTTGTATACTTGCCAGGCCTACGTCACAATATTTACTACTTTTGTCTGATTTGGACTGTGAGTTTTTGCCAAAACAGTAACGATATTAGGCGACTAACTAATAGCAGCAGCAAAAATAATAGGATAATAATCTTTTCTCCCTGCATTGATATCATTGAAGTCAAATGATTTAGCGGTAAAGACACTGTTTAACACGATCCAGTGTCTTTCCTAGCTATTTATCATGATTAATGTTTTGAGAATAATCGTTTCTTCAGCCAAACCATAGACTACATGATGGGTCAGACAAATTGAAATAAGACTATCCTGATAAAAAAAAAAAAAAAAAACAACATTACCGCGTTGCTCTTTTAAACTGTTTACTGTAGGATATTTGTTTCCAGGACACGGGGGGAATGTCTGAAGACGAAATTAAAAACAAAAGCCTCCTAAGAGCCAAGCACCAATAGCAGCGCAGAGGACGGGGCTTCCCGCTCCGTCGTGCGCCCGGGGACAGTATTTAGGAGCGGAGCCCGTCCAGGAGAGGAGACCACAGGTGCACCAGGCATGACCGGGCCAGCCTCCTCCAACACGCTCAGAGGGAAGGAAAGAAACCAGTGGCAAGTTAAACTGCGTCTGAAACGCACAACCGGACATTCAAATGAGTGGGTGAGCACTTTTTCCAATAATCTAAAATAGCAGATAGGCCATAAGCTACCTAGTGTTTCCATGGCCTGTTGCTGCTGCTGCTACCAGGCAACCACTCCAAACTCTAAACACCACTACTCCTCTTTGCTTTAATACTTACTTTAGCAAAATAAATTAGGTTAGGCTGATAAAATAACACCCACTCACTATTATGCTATTGATTGAAAATAATCAACTTGCTGAATAATTATGTGAAACGAGGGTGGCCATTTTTTAAATTGTAGTTTAACATGAGAAAGTGTTTTTTTTTTTTTTATGAGAATCACACTGACTGGATCTTTTGCTGTCTGTTTTCATTACCAGGACAATGAGAGGTTCTGTAGGACAGAGGAGACACTGCCCCTTCACGGTAAGAGGGGAAATAATCAGAAAGTCAGATTAACTGTGCTGGTTGCATCCCTCCTCTACATCCTCTGAGCTGGTGGTGACAGTGTGGCAGTGTACCGCTGCTGGCTGTGCTACTACCTGACCGACAGCGGTCAGCTGCTGCTACCTCAAACAACCCCAGCTGACACTGCCACATATACTCCACTTCATTCATCTGCAGAGAAGCTGGCAAAAATTGTTTCATTTAACACAGTGACCAACATTCAGCTCAACGTCAGTTCAGCATAGTCAAATCCATGCATTTGCATAAACAGTAGGCCTCCGAGTTGTGGCTGGTTGGGAGGCAGTGTAATGTTAGCTGATGTATCTACTGCCAGCTCACAATGCTCTGCTACCTTAACAGCTACACTGGACTATACCTGAAATTTGTTTGAAGCAAAGGCTGAAAAATGTCTGAGCTACTTGTGTCACAGGACCTAAAACAGAAAAATCTGACACTGCACAGGTGAATTTATTTTCAGCTATTTTGTTGTGGGTGGTTGGTAGGCAGTGTCTTGTTAGCTGGCCGTTGCTGTGTGTGCCAGCCTACCTGCTGCTGCCCTCCAACTGTCCATTTAAATCCACACCACCAACAGCTGATGGGTTTCAGAGCTATGGCCGATTTGTGTCCATTTATGACTGAGAAGTGGCTTATAGACGCTGAAATAACTGACAGAATATCTGCACCAGTATGATGCATAGTTTTCATGGCAGCATCAACATTACTGCTCTCAAAAACCTCAAAAGCTAAATTAAAGCACTATTTTATTGTGTTATGGCTGCTCCACAAATCAAATCAAGTCAAAATTGACTAAAATGGTATGCTTCACCAGAGAATTAGATTTTAATGTAAACATGATAAAGAGGTGGTACAAACTAAGCAAAACTGAACATGTGTAACATCCAGTACTTTTAAACAACCCTTCAGCTGCAGCAGTGGTCATTATAAGGAATGTTCGTCACGACTCTCACCATTAACCATGGTCCCCGTACTCGCAGACACCCTCTCACACACACACACACACACACACACATTTTGGCTAGCATGATTTTCATTGCTTTTGTGGTTAAAACTAGTGGATCCTTTCATCCTGCATGTTTCCGGAGGGAGACATCACCCAGCCACAATCGCAACAGTTCATAGTCCAGCAGTGGTTACTCCTGGCAGCCAGCGTGCAGGAAACAGACATAACCCAGCGGCGTGTCCACTAGCTATCATCAAGCTCCATCATAGCTCCACCCGTTTCTTTAGGATCATTTCTCGCACCAGCACTGTGGCCTCTTGTCTAATACTCTCCATGGGCTCGTCAGTTCTCCAGAACCGGACCACTTTACCCTCTGGATTGACCAGAAACTTCCAGAAGTTCCACTTTGGGGTCTTCTGCACAGAATCTGAAAAAATAACAGTAACTTACACTAATTAATGGTCCAGCTTACAACCTAAATTCAGCCAGAGTCTGTTGATGCTCTACACTAACCTATCATATCTATCGCGTTACATAACCTGAACCTAATATCATTTATTAAGATTTTTATTTAAATAGGGTTTGCAACAATTATTTTGGTGTATGAAATGTCAAAGGCAACAAATTGCCGAGCACAATGTCTTAATGTTTAGTTTCGTCTGACCAAAGGTTTGCTGATCAACTAATAAATTTATTGTTTGTTCTAATTTAAATTACCTAAATTTTTGCCACTCTTCAGTGAGATTAAGATAAAATATTGTAGTAAGTATAATTTGATATTATCATATAAATCTATAAAATATACTAGAAAATCCAACTGAAAAACTGTTTACTGTTAATTAAAAATAAAGTAGACATCTGTTTTTGACAAATCTAATAAATTACATACAAAAAAAAATGTCTCCATAGTGATGCAAAAATCATAGTAGAGCTACTCACACTGGCCAAACTCAATGTAAATTAAATATGACAATAATGTTTTTGATTGAGTAACTTGTTGTTTGGTCTGTAAAACATCAGTGAGTAGTGAAAAATGAACCTAGTAATTTACCAAAACCCAATGCTACGTCTTCAAATGGATCAGTCGACTTCAGCTCTTAATCCAAGTATATGGAGAGTAATCAGTCTATAAATGCAGCACTAACCACAGTGACCCAACCATTGATATTAAAGTCACATCTATAACGACGCACCATTCGGCAAAACATCTGGCAGGTGGTATATGTGTATTGTCACAGTGTCTCTATAACTGATAAAAATTACATGCATTAAATGGTTACAGTTCCTCGTAACTGTTTACTTACTGCCACTGCAAAATAAAATTTGTCATCACACAGACCGGCTGAAGTTTGTTGACAGCCAGAATTTAGGCCTAAAACATATAAGCTACTTTCCTCCAGTACATGATATTTTGTCAAACCTAGTGCAGACAAATATCTGCCAACCTGTGAGGAATCTGAAGGCAGGATCCGCTTCTGAGCCCAGTATTTTGATCTTGCTGAAAAAGGGGAAGGTAACACCGTAAGTGGACTTGGCGAAAGCCTCGATGTCCCGGCTGGTCCCGGGCTCTGTGTCACCGAACTGGCCACAGGGGAAGGCCAGGACGTTGAAGTGAGAGGTGCCCAGCTCCCGGTGCAGCTCCTGCAGAGACCTGTAGTTCGCCTCCGTCTGCTCGCTGTGACTCGCCACGTTTACAACCAACGACGCCTGTGTAGTAGGGGAACAGGGTTCATCTTAAAAATGTTAAAGAAATACATATTATACGCCAAAATCCCCCCCCCGCAGAGAGTGGACAGCTAGAACAAACCTTGCACAGACTTCTTCTCAAAGTGAAACGATTTGTGATGATGTGGACTTACTTTTCCTCGGTACTTCTCCAGGGAAACGAGCCTCCCCTTCACGTCTTTGACCTCGAAAGAATAAAAATCCGTGGGCTTCCTCGGCTTCACCAGCTGGGTCTGCAGGAGGAACAGACACCCCACACCGACCGTCATGCTCAGCAGCACCCTCAACCTTTTGGCTTTTGGGCTGGAGGACTTGGCAGGGTAGCCCCCTAAAGCCTCCATCTTGGAGGGTAACGGACGAGCCACGGTCGTAGGGAGGGGGGGATCCTACCAAGTTTTTCTGAGGACGTCAAGACGTATGAAACGTCGAAAACCGGAATCTGGGCGCTGATTCTTTCAAAATAAAGTCAATAATGACACCATCTCCTGGTGTGCGCAGTAAAAGCCCTATTAGATTTATTAGTGCACCATTCACATAGGCTGTCCTTCGTTTCTAAACAATTTAAAAGTAATATTTGGTTTAAAAATGACATAATCACTGTGACTTGTGCTATATTCTTTAATACAATATGAAAGCACCAGCATGAAACAAACTACAGCTGCTACACAAACTCGTTTCCTTAGATTATCTTAGCTGTAATCAAAATCACTTACAAAACAGTGTTCAAGACATTACACAACATTACAGTTTTTTTGGTTTTTAATTACCAAATTAGAATGGCATGCTAGGTACAACAAACTTTAAACAGTACAATACAGACCAGCTCCAAAACACATGTAGTGACTGAAATTTTATTTTTAGTATATACCCGTTTAAATAATATGCTGGACAATATGAAATATCTTCCTGCCAGTTATCTGGTTAAAAATGTGTGTGAATCATTAAGTAAGTTTGTACAGTAGGCCTATGTGTATTGTCATTATGATATGTCCCCCAAAAAACTAGTACTTTACCATAATGCTGGATAGTAATCTATTTGGAATAAAACCAAGGATTTTGTCACAGTACTGTATCTTGTGTCAGACATTTAGAACACATCTTTATTACAGCAGGACTATTTAGGTGCCATATTGCCTATATGTTTCTATAAGACAGTCTATAAGGTGGTGCCCAGTAGCATGGCTTTTTTCCTTTTCTTTTTGTAGAGGATCCAGAATTTGTTACATTCCCTGAGAATTTATGACAGCTATTCCACTCAACCACTGATTTCAATGTGTAATTTAAATCTAACTTTTACCCATTAACTGTATTCATTTTGTGTACAGAAAAGAACTGCATTTACATTCTTTTCAAACAGAGAATTATAGGCCTGTATTTTTATTACCATATAGTATATTCATATTTGTGACTTCAATCTTATAGGCAGAAGTTAACTGGCAGTGGCCACCCTGAAGATTATAACACCCATTTAGTAACTAGACAGCAACACACTAAACAACTAGCAACCACCTAGCAACAATTTGAAACAGTGAGGTCACTGAGCAAACACAAATGGTTTGTAATGCAACCACTGTTTAGTAGGCTAATAATTAAAAAAACATATATTTTTCTGCTGCTTTGAAAATGTAATTATCCACCTGCAGTTATCACCAAAAAGTAATGTTTGCTCATTTAAAAATCACATTTAAATGATATGTCCAGAAAACATTTGTTGTGCTTAGCTCTTAAATGCAGTAAATATAACAATACAAGTAATAATAATAATTGGTCATTTTAAAGCATAAATGCCAAATATATGCTTTTTACAGCTCCATGATGATTTTTTTTACTGAATATCTTTGGGTTTTTGACTCTTGGTCAGCCAAGACAAAAATCCTGAGGCTGTAAGAAATTATAACGGGCTTGTATTTACTGTTTTCTGACATTTTATAGACAGAACAACTCATCATGGAAATAGTCAGATTGGAGATCATGAAAATGCTCATTAGATCATTAAAAGTCTTGCACTTTGTGTCCATTTTTAGTCTTTTGAAACTACCGTCTGAACGTTATTACTTTGTCTTCTCAGGGACAAAACGATGCTCACCATGTGTCATACAAACGCTTCAGGAGGCGGATTATCCAGAGAGGCAGCAGGGAGGGTCCTGCAGCAAGTACACCTCTAACCACTGGGGGGAAGTATGAGCCAGGCTTTGAGTTTGATACAATCTGTCAGAGACTGGAGCTGGACTCTCCACCAAGACACCATGAACCAGCTCAAAGAGTCCTGCGGGGAAACATCCGAGGTATTATTTTAAAAACACACCACACTGGAGAAGAATATTAAAGATCTACCTGTGTGTGGCACTAATCTCACTTTCACACTCTATGTCACTCTCACACAATATCCAAAACAGTAATCAGTAAAAAGCCAGCCTCAGCTTTATGATGAATATAATGAGTATATTGTCGACCACTAGTTTCTTAGTTTTTCACCATCAAATTTTAAATGTGATAAACAGAAATATTTAAGAATCTGCTATTCAACTCCAGGTTTAGTTTAGGTGGCCCAAATGCGTTCATTTTGTTATTAAAATACACTGAAATATTAAGTGTACTCCATTACTCAAATCTTTTGCTTAAGTGAAATTAGCAGTGTAGAAATAATCTGTTACAAGTAGAAGTCCTGCATTCATATTTGTACTTAGGTAAAGTACAAAGGTATTAGTATCAAAATATACTTAAAGTACCAAAGGTAACGTGTATAATGGTAATATGAATAATGGCCCATTTCAGGATAAGATTATGTTATAAGATTATTCTTACTGATGCATCAAAGTGTGAATGACTTTACTGATGCAAATCTACAAAGTAACTGATCAAATAAAATGATAAAATAAATGTAGTGGGGTAAAAAGTATAGTATTTGCTACAGGTTTGTTGCAGAGTAGAAGTATATAATAGCAAAAAATTTCTCAAGTAAAGTACAAATACCTCCAGAATGTACTTAATTACAGTACTGCAAATAAATAAATACTTTCTACCACTGTCACCATCTGAAGCAAACATAGCCACAAACCCTCATACCTGTCTTTCATGATGTCTTAATCAGAGACAGTGTTGGCAAGAAGTGTGTCCCACTGTAGGGCTGTCACACCACCCAATACACCACACACCATCGCTGCCAGGGGAAGGGCTGCCGCAGAAAATGCTCCAGAACAGGTCTGTTTAAGGAACTTGCAATGTGTGTCATTATTTATTTTGTTTGTGTGACTGTCTCTCTATCATCTGTCCATAAAAAACAAAACAGAGGAGTGATGGAAAAACTCTGAGGTGGTGTTAGAGTCTCAGGTTCTTAAATAAGGAGATAAGACAGTAATGAGTTTTTTTTATATTTGAGATTTCTTTGTGCAAGATTACTTCAGGTGAAGTAATAAATGCTTTGAGATCACTTAAAACATTACCCAGTTGTACCTACTTATAGCTAATATAGACACAACATGAGTTAATACTAAAAAAGGTTAGTGTCATTGTTCCACAAAATTCATAAAACAAGGTCTAAAGATGAATATAAACATCACGTAAAATAGAAAATGTACCATGAATTACTTATGTTTTGCAGGGATGGGTGTGGAGAGCTGCAGTTCAAGAACAAGGCAATGCACAACAGGCTGGTAAAGCTTATATGTTTTTTCTTCCACTTCATTCTTACACACACACACAAGAGAAATGACATTATCTGAAAGCTATGTAGAGTGCTGTCATATCAGGAAATGAAAGTGAAAGGCAGAAATGTTAAGCAACAGAAACTGCTGACGGAGTGTGGCCTGTCTATGTTTATGTTTGCTGACTTTGTGGGGGTCTGAAGAAATTTAGAACAAAGAATATGACATTTTAACAGCATAAGCTATTAAAGGTGATAGAAATTATTGTCTAGGTGTCTGTGGTCAACAAAGAACAGCTCTATTTTCAAGACTTGGTTTTTATTGTTCAGGTTAGAATTAGGTTTACATTGGGCTTATAGTTAGGCATTTAGTTTTGATGGTAAGGCGTGTTGCATGCATTATGTCAACGAATGTCCTTACAAAGATAGAAGTACAAGTTGTGTGTGTGTGGCCTTTATAAATACTTGTGGGGACTGAGCACTGGGAGCACACTGCTTTGCAGGAACCTTTAATTCTTTGTTGACATGCTTATTGTAGTTTGATGTGAATAACTGTTGCAATTCCATACTAAAGTTTGATATTTACAAAAAAAAATTAACAGTAAAGTCTTTCATTTTAGTGACTGAAAATGAATGCAAGCAGTATCACCAACAGTCAATCAAGCAACTCAAAGATGCATTGCCTTAGATGTATTTCTTAGTGTAACTGTATGTTTATGTTAGCTAATATTTTGCTGTTGAAGGCTTTGCAAGTCTGCAGCCGTTTGCTGTTCTGGAAAAAGCAACTGTGAGTCTGCCAGGAAAGTCGGTGATGAAGATGGGGGCACCGTCACTGCTGAACGACTACTGTAAGGGAAATACAAATCCTGCATCAAACTTACAAGTACATGCAGAAACAATAGTAGGTGTTTTTTATTTCTGTGTTTGATTAATAAAACTTGTGATATTACATATGCTTCCCATTGTCAGCATTTTCCACTGAAAGATAAAAACTAACCACATGTTAGTCCTTCTTTCAGTACTTCTGCACTTTCGGTTTCACTCAGCATAAAGCTCATTTCTTCCTACTAAAATATAGCTTCAGATTGTGACAAAGATGTGTGTTTTTAACAAAATATTAAACTACACTACTGTTATTTGTAATATGAAATTTTGTAAATAAATGCCATCAGTTAAGACTCATTTTGTGACTCATCAGCACATTATAGCCTCTGTAGTCCGTCTCTTTTCCTTCTCTTCTCTTTCAGACACTAATCTTCTCGACTGCAGTTGTAATGGTATGATTGCATTAGCTCTGGGCTCTTCTGTTTACCTTTGGAATTCAGAAACTCGTGCTTTGGTGGGATATTTGAACCCGAGTCTGCAACCAGGACAACCTCATCATCAAATGCAGTCCATCTCATCTCTGTGCTGGAGCAGAGATGGCAGAGTTCTCAGCACTGGGTCCAGGCGAGGGGAGATACAGGTAAGTGCTTTTCAAGTTAAAGTGAACACATGAGGATGGAAACAGATTCATACAAACTGTGGTGAGGGGAAGTGTAACACCTATTTGAATCAGCAGGATGACGGTTTGTGGTGTCTTTTTGTGTCTCTTTGACTCTTTAGTTGTGGGATGTTGAACGAAAGCAGAATATGATGTGTCTGCCTTCACACCTGTCTGTGGTTAGAGCATTTTCCTGGAAACAGCAGTTACTCAGCAGGTACTAGTGTGTGTCTGTGTTTTCAGTACAGACAAAGGAATTATTTAAACAACATTCAGTATCATTTTGAACTCTACTAAAGCAGTAATGACACAATGACATCAGCTGGTTTAGGGCAATGGTTCATCTATATGACTAGCAAAATGAAAATAGTAGAAAAATAGTAGAAAATATACTGTCAGAATAAAGTATCCCTTAGCTGCGGTGGAAAATAACAGCATCCACAATCTAACAGTGGCTGTATGCTCGGACATATACATCACTCCGATCCTCGGGCTCCCATGCCTCTGGTAGGTGCAGTCATCCAGAAAGAGGGGATCTGCAGCCTCCAGTGGTCACCAGGAGACAACTGGCTGGCCAGCGGCTCCACAGACGGCCTCCTCCATATATGGGACAGTGACTTTGCAGTGCTCACGGGGTCACATCAGCCAATCACTACAATGAAACAGCCCGGCGCCATTAAGGTAAGTAAACTTGAAATTGTGGCTTGAAATTAAAACACTGTTTGCATGCATGTCTTTCCCCCATGTTTTTATCAAATGTGAGACAGTGGTTATGAAAAGGTTATAAAATATTTTTCTCTCCTTGTACTTGTATTTTGTATTTATAATAATTTTGATCACTTTGTAAAGATCTGTTTTCACTTTGATATTACATTTTCTGTTGGTTAGTGTTAAAAAAGCTAAGTTAAACCTTCTTTGGCCAATAGTTATAAAACCATAACTATTTGTTGAATACATTTGTAGTCAGTTTTACTTGAACACTACTTACAGTATCTGGCTTAAATGAAATAGGGAGGGGAGAACCGTCTTCATTCTCTGTTTTACTGTGCAGCATTTAACCATAACCAGAAACACTAGCAGCTTTGCAAGGCTGTGGTGGAGTGCTCTGTTTGATGAAATACTATTGAGTCAAATGCTAATGCAGGTATAATGTTTGTCTGAGACTAGTTTAGTACATTTCCATGATAACATGCTGTCATGACTTTAGTTTTGCAGGTATTTTGTTATAAACCAAGTTGAAATGTTGGCCTGATCATGGTGCTAGGTGAGAATATTGTTACACTTTATCCCAATGCAGCATGAATATCTGTACAAAATGCCATGGTGGCCCACTCAGTATTTGTTGGACTATTTTAATTCTGGGCATTGGATGGACTGACTGACCTACAACTCCATTCATACAGCCCTGCCACTAATAAACAGGACCCGGTGGTGCATCTTGGTAGCCATTTATCTTGCTTGCTTGAATTGAAAAATGAAACTAACTCTTTTGGTTTATAGGGTTAACACAACCACAGTCTGTGTATTCTGTTGTTTGACTTGATGATGAACAATCTTAGCTCATGCAAACCAAACATGAGTGGCATGCTACTGGTTGGTATGATAAAAGGTTTAGCTGTAATATTATGTGGTATAGAGGTTTTAAAATGCTACTACAGTAGATGATCCTGGGCAGTCTGCTTACACAACCAGACAAGGTGATGGCTATTATGTGCATACTTGTGTATTCACTGTGTTTAGGCAATGGGATGGTGTCCATGGCAGAGAAAGACGATTGCCACAGGAGGCGGATGGACAGATGGAAAGCTGAGAATCTGGGACGCACAATCAGGGACTTGTTTGACTTCTACTAACACAAACTCACAGGTGCTTAAGATTCAATGTATAGCAGAGTTATTATTTACTGTGTATAAATATCAGATAGACTATTCCTACTGACTCCAATTGCAGATCTGTTCTCTACAATGGGCTGAAAAGAAGAGGTATCTGGTCACAGGTCACGGCCCTCCTCACCACCAAATCAGGATGTGGGAGTTTCCGTCCCTCAGCCTGAAGGACCAGCTCATAGGTTTGAGAATCTGAGAGATGATTCATGATTCAGCAGCTTCTGTTTAAAACACCCACAACAGTCTCATAGGAACAATTGTACTGCATCATTATGCATGCTGAAAAATATTAATAAAGCGGTATCAAAGTGACAGTTGAATGATTGCTGCAGTCATAGTGATATTTGCATTAACTCATTCATCTCCTGGTTTTCCAGTCAATGTGAAACGATGAATAAAACATAAAAAATGTTTATAGGAGATGTAACACTTTCCTGAGAAATTGTGAGTTTTGGGGGGCAAATAAAACATCTAAAATCCATCTAGTCAAAAACATTCTTTAAAACACATCCATGTTTTGCACCCGTATTACTAATTTACTCATAGATTGCAGTTACTCTGGTGTTGATTTTTGCCTGAAACAGTCACTAGTAAGTGATGAATCCACCCCTCTGATGTTATTTTCCATCAACACAGGAGCTGTGGTAGTAGCTGATTTAAATAATTCACAGTGAAAATATTTCTCGGAGCTGGCTTTAAAAAACTTGTATAGCACCAACAATCTATACTTGCTGCTATTTTCTTGAAAAATTTTCTATGATAATTTGTCCATCACTAGTACAGAAAGATAAAGCCCCCATTCCTTTTCCTGCTAACAAAGCTCTGACTGACTCAACTGTTTTTCCAACCAGGGAAACAGATGTTTATTCAGTCAACATCAGAGTTGCCCGAACTGCATATAAATCTGAGATGTGGCCTGGAACAAGGCTGGCGAATCATGTGCTTAAATGAGCGAGCTATAACAGTCGACAAACCCCCTTAAAAATATTACTTGATGGTAGAGCCTATGAGACTATTTCTGATTTGTAGTAGTGTCCTAAGCGTTATGTATTTCCTCACTAGCTAACTCAGTGTGAAATTTGCATGCTAGCTACTCAGTAGGTAAAACCTGTTCAGGAATAAGTGGCATAGATAAATGGATGGTTTGGGAATTTTTTGCCAAAGTTAGTACTTTTCTGTTGCTCTATAATAGTGGTGAAAAGAAACATCAAGGCACCTTTGTTTTATAAGGGAAACAAGGTATTTATATGTCAAATGTCAGTCACGTTGTTGTTGTTGTCTTTTCAGGCCATTCACATCGAGTTCTGCACTTGGCCTTAAACCCTGACAGTACTCAAATTTTCTCTGCTGGAGCAGACCAGCGCTTTCACATCTGGGACCTTTAATTATCACCATCACTCAATGTGGATAGTGAATGCTGCAGGCATCTGGTCAGACCTGTGAGAAACCACATTCACTTCCTTGGTAATACCACTGTGTAGAGCCTGCACATTTCCTTTTTCTCACTTTGAATTGATCACCGAGTCAAGCCATCTTACCACCAAGTCAAATCAGAAATCAAAAGTCCAAACCAATTGTCAAAACAACAATGCACCACAATGTGGATGTTACTTTGTTTAAGACAGAGCACATTGTTAAGGTCACAAAATGCGCTCTGTCATATCAGGGCCTTAGGAAATATAGTAAAAATAAAAGTTTTGTTTCTATAGGACTGTACTTACCAGCACTGAGAGACTGCATAAAAAGACAATAACACCATAAAACAACAGCATAAAGCGACATAGTATCTGGTGGTAACATGACAGATGTATGATACATAAAAAACATATAAAGGTCAAACAGGAAGGCTAGTCAGTAAAAATGTGTTTTGAGGCATGTTTTAACATCTGAGACAGTGCCAGTAGACCAAATACAATGTGGACAGTTTTTAAGATGAGGTGCCAGTACAACAGTGGATTATCTCTTGACTTTAGCTTGAATTTCAGCAGCCATTTGGGTCAGTAAGCAGTGAAAAATGTACTCATGTACATCAGTGTCTGTCCCAGATAAGGTTTGTATATTATAAGGATTTTAAAAGAAACTCCAGTTCCAGTGCAAAGAAGCCAGACTCTGTCATTTGGCATTTAGCAAGAGCTCACATTGAAATACTTCTCCCATGAAATTATCTTTTTTTTTTTTTACTCTAAGTGTATTTATGTAACTTCTGCTTCAGGTAACTTCCTAATTTGTGTTACCCAGTAAACATGTTATATGTGGCATCTACTGTATGTCTGGAGTCATTATTCTAGCCTGAAGCCTGTCAGCTCATGGTTTATTGTGTACTCCTTATTTCAGGTTTAGGTATTTTGACATTTGTTGGTGATAATGTGTGTCACGTTCCACAGTGTGCCTGATTTGCCTTTATCTGACAGATAAATAGAATGGCTGTGTTCAGGTTTTATTTAGAAACCGGATAACGGAGAGTTACACAGAAATAGAATGCAGAGTAAAGATCTCCTGGCAAAGACCTGCACATTGAAAGAATGTGACCAGACCACAGTTGAGAGAACATTTTGCAAAAAGTGTCTGTGGTAAAGACTTCCTCTGGAAAAAAAATGTGCAAGACCCCCGTCTAATGTATTATGAGTAACCAACAACAAGGTGCAGACGTGATGGTGCAACACACAAGGTTTACACTTTGTCACCTCAGAAGTTTGTTTCTCACGCTACACAGGAGTCATGATATGAAAATGTTTCAGAAAATAAACCAGTAAGATGCATCATCCCTCCGGCATTATAACATTCTATACCGTGGATAACTAGTCTGGATAAAACACGGACTTTATTGTCCAAAGTTCCAATGATGTTAGGTCTTTTTTGGTCTTGTTGGTATACAGTATTATAAAGATAATGACATGCTGTAACACATGCTGTCATTTCTACCTCTAAATTACTAGCTCCTAATTGTAATTTAGCTATCTACTGTATTTGTGAATATCTCTAAAGGGGGTGTTGAATTGGCAGCATGGAGCCATTGGAAATTCAATCACACCACAGTTTTACATGTGATGTGAAATCAAATATTTCAAATTGAGTCATAAGACAGTCAATCCAGTTATGATATTTGTGAACTGCAACTCCTCCTATTTGTCTATAGACCAAAGTGCCTCTGTGGTTGCTATAAGTCAGAATAAAAGAAGACTGAGAGAAGGTTTAGCTGAGCACTGTTACGCTATTTATACTGGGAACCTTCTTAATCCTATGACCAAGCATTAGCTAACGGTCCAGCATGGCATTGACTCTGCTTTGAGTGTTACTGACATAAAGCCCAGAGTTGTGGACACCACAGGGTTTGACAGAGTCAAACACCTTAAGCAATGCAAGGCATACTGGACACAGATCCTCGAAGGCATTATGCTTTGTTGTACTTTTTAACATGTTAGCCCATATTTATTGAAGGCCTTTCATTTTTAACCATCCACTTGAGTGCCTGGAATTGGACGTCTTTTAAATCAAAGATGGCTGTTTTTTCTTGTGTTAATCATCATTTACAAGTGTTGTACCAGTTTCCACTCTTCCGACCCTTACCCACTGATATGCCTGCGAAGAGAGGTACACGCATCATGTCCCTGAGAGATAAATACAGTATTTGTTCTTCCAGTAAACACTACAGCTGCTCTATACCGAAACCAGTGTTCAAGCATTCACCTTAAGCAGAGTTTGGGATCACTTTACACTTTACTGTCCTTGAATTGTTCTTCTTTGTGTTTTTCTAGGATTGTTCTAGTGACTTATTATCAGATCCAGAGGTACAAAGTACACCAAAACTGATATTTTGAATGCTTGATCCAAAAATAGACTACAGGGCGGAGTAACATGACTATTTTTAGCACTTCCTAGAAAAGCTCAGTACCATTCTCCTGGTGTTTAGTTACAGTTTTATTGTTTAACCAGTTGAGATACTTTGGTTTGCTATGGCAAATGTAAAGCACACAATCTGCTGTTCACCACTATGATAAGAACAGAGTACACTACTTACACAAAAATTTGAAAATTATTTTTGCAAAGCATAGTCACTGTATTGTAAGATAATGAGGCAGAAATGGAATAGCACAGAGTAGGGTAAGTCAGCTGACATAGTTTTTTGCATGACGTCTGAAATTTCAGTTTGAGAATAATTCATGAAAACGCCCTGAATTAGGTGAGAAGCCGACATGGCCACTCCCACCTTTGTCCACCTCCTACATCACCCCACATGAGCTAATTTATAAACTTCCCAGGCAGAAAGAGTTTTAGGCAGACAAGAGGGTGAGAAAATGAGTTACATATTGCAAGAACTCTGCATAATTAACAAGATTTGGGAAATAAAAGACTGATCATTTGTTGGAATGTTTGTACAGGAGTAAAAACTACAAAAACACCTTCCTGGAATAACCTGCTTCTACTGTGTTCTACTGCATGTTTGCCAAGATGCAGAATCCGCAGCGACTGGTTGTTCTAGGTATCTGTTGCCAAAATTCTTTTATATCAAACTTTGTCTTTGCAAAAAACAAGTGATTTTTGTTTATACTTCATCATTTAGCAAAGGTCTGTACAATGTAATGCGTCATTTTTATGTTAAGACTGTATCTATATCACAATCTTCCTAATAGATCACTGCTATTATCTGAAATAACACCACTGGCTGTGCGTTTGTAAGATTTGAATTCTTTGAAAAATATACAACCAAAAATTAAACATGTCATACTTGGAAACTAAATATGGTTTAAGAGCAGCTATTAATATTACAAATTCCCGAGGTGCACATATGGATGGATTATCATATTATATACACTGATCAGGCATAACATTTATGACCACCTGTACATCTGTATGCACTTCAGTGCAACACTTCTGCCTTAACATTTGTTCTTATGAAACTCAAAATGTTTCATTATGGACTACATTATATTCAGACCCTCTCTTGTATATGTCAATGGGCAGGACAAAAATATACAGACACCTCTGAATATAATGTAGTCCAGTACAACATCACCTTTAACTATGACCTCAGTAAGGAACATATAATTGAATTTCTACATTTATGACAATCTCACCAAAAACTGAAACATTTTGAGCTTCATAAACACAAATATTAAGGCAGAAGTGTTGCACTGAAGTTCATACAGATGTACAAGTGGTCATAATGTTATGCCTGACACTCATCTGCACAGATACTGCACTATAAACTACATTTCAATGCTGTATTAGGAAAGTATCATAAGAGACAATAAAAAAGGGGGTGAGATGTTCAAGTAATTCATTAATGCACAGCAAGAGAATCATGCTGTTAATAACTTCTCCATTTTCCTCTCTGTTATATCCCTCACTTAGTGGTGTGCCATGGCTTAACAGTGGGTCAGATCATCTCACATTACTTCCTGGTCCAGAGACCTATGCCCTGGCTCAGGGCCCAGGAATTCTGTCAGAGGCACTACGTAGACCTCGCTATCCTAAGCACAGAAGCACAATACCTCACTCTCCTCAGTGCCACTGCTGCAAACAACATCAGTTTCTGGCTTGGTCTGCGGTACCAGAGCACACTCAATGTCTGGGCATGGGTGAATGGAGATGAGCTGAGCTATGAACACTGGTACAAGAGAAACCCTGGAGGCCATTGTGCAAGTCTGGAGGCCATGCTGGAAAAAGACCAGAAGCTACTGGCTCGCTACTGTGATGAGCTGCACATGTCTGTCTGTCAGGGTGAGCAATGCTTCACTGCTGTTATTTACAAATTAGAAGGGGGGATTTCTTTGGTTTTCTACTTTCAAAATTGAGCTTCCTCTAACTGTTTTTTCCAGTATCATCTTTAAATGATAATACAAAAACGAAAAAAACGAAAAAAATGTGTTGTGCTATGCATAATGACAATAAAGATTCTTGACTTGAAATGCTGCTCATGATGTAGCATGGTAATCACAAAAAGCCAAATTAATAAGTTTCTTGTCAGTTCATTAGACTTCAAATTTATGCGTCACATGTAATTATTGTATAATTATTTATCTTTGGTCCGGTGCAGTGCTGAAGTCTGTTTCCCTATCTGTCTGTGTTTCCTACTGCCCACCTGGAGCCAAACAAAACCCTAACCCCAGCCACTAATTTTCTGTGATACATACCCTAACACCTCTGTGATGCCTAACGACAATAACCTAAGACCTGCCACCAACCACGGGAAACACATCCACACAAAACCAGACCAATGAAGTGAGCTATGAATGTGAAACTAAACTAAATCTTTTCACTCACAGGTCCAGTTTCACCAGATTCAGTGATGAGCTCAGTGGGTGCCAACCATGTGAATCTTAGCTGGAATGTCTCTGCCTTTATGCAGATGACACCACACAGTTACAATGTGACGACATGCGCCAGCACATGTGATATACACCTCTACCCCTACACTCCTGGCTCTGCCAACATGAACATCAACATCTCCAACTTGACTCCATCCACTGAGTATTTCATCAAAGTTGTTGCTCTTGTTGTGCGGCGCGACAGTGGTACTGGTGGAGAAATTATCCTTCAAAGTAACCCTGCAGCTTTACAAGTCAAAACAGGTAGGAAGGACTTAAATATGTGCCGCACATTTTCTGTGAAAGTCAGTCTGCTTTGTGTTGTTGCAGGTTTCCTATACATTATCATATTGTAATGACCCCCGGCGTGGAGGAGAGAGACTACCTATACTTTGAGCAGCTAAACTAGCTAGCAGGGCGCTAGCACCTATGCTGTCAATTAGTGCCTACTCCAGGTCCCATACACCGCACGACTCTGGGTAGCACTTTTCTTCCAGTAAACACTACAGCTGCTCTATACCGAAACCAGTGTTCAAGCATTCACCTTAAGCAGAGTTTGGGATCACTTTACACTTTACTGTCCTTGAATTGTTCTTCTTCGTGTTTTTCTAGGATTGTTCTAGTAACTTATTATCAGATCCAGAGGTACAAAGTACACCAAAACTGATATTTTGAATGCTTGATCCAAAAATAGACTACAGGGCGGAGTAACATGACTATTTTTAGCACTTCCTAGAAAAGCTCAGTACCATTCTCCTGGTGTTTAGTTACAGTTTTATTGTTTAACCAGTTGAGATACTTTGGTTTGCTATGGCAAATGTAAAGCACACAATCTGCTGTTCACCACTATGATAAGAACAGAGTACACTACTTACACAAAAATTTGAAAATTATTTTTGCAAAGCATAGTCACTGTATTGTAAGATAATGAGGCAGAAATGGA